TTACCACCAAGCTACCAGAGCCCCCTATTTGCTAGTTTATAGAAATATAATTTATTTAAATACATAGAATACTCTTGTAACATTGCTAAATTTTCTTATTAGTTTTATTAGGGGTTTTGGTAAGTTCTTTAGGATTTTCTATACATATACAAGGAGCCCTAGTGACATAGTTCATAGCAGATTGTACTGCTAGTCAAAAGACTGCCTGTCTCAACCAATTTGAACCGAGGTTCCCATGAGTTTATATAAGCCTTTACTAGGGTAGGGCTTGTATCCAAAGAACTTCTCCAGAGTGCTAAAGAGCAATAATACCAGTTTAAAGAATAAGGTTATACCTGACCCATACCATTGTCTTTTCAATTGTTTGCTCTACATCTGAGAGCTGGATAATGACTAAGTATGACAGAAGAAGAATTGATGCCTTTGAGTTGTGGTGCTGGAGAAGAGTACTGAATGGACTGCCAAGAGAACAAACATGTCTGTCCTGGAGAGGCTGAAATTAGGTTCCTCCTTGGAGGCAAATATTTTGAAGCACTGTGTCACTTAGTCTGGGCTTGTTGTCAGGGGAGACCAGTCTTTGCAGAAGGACATCATGCTCAGAAAGGTTCAGTGCAGGAGAGGAAGATCCTGGATGAGATGGATTGACATGGTAACTGTGACTATAGAGTCAGCCATGTCACAGATGGGGAGGTTGGCTCAGAATAGGGCAGGGGTCAGAGCCCTTATTCATAGGGTCTCTAAGAGTCATAATCAATCCGATGACACGTAACAACAACAACATATGATCTTTATTGTGCTTTTTATCATATTGGTATTCTCTTGAACACCTGCTGATTTATTTCTCAGATGATTTGGCTTTTTCTTTCATTTATTTCTTCAGTTTGCACAACTTCCAATATGCATCTTCCTGTTCTTTTTATATATGTATTTTTTTATTTAGAACATTTGTTTCATTTTTCATTTGAAAAAAGTATCTTGTTTTCCTTAAATGTTAATCTTTTAGCTCTTTCATTCCTCTTAGCTACAGATTATTTTGGGAGGCATAGTATTTTTGAGTTTTAACACTTCTGAATTTTAGTGTTTTTCTATCTGCAAATACTTCAGTTGTATGTTGGAAAAGTTAATTAAGTTCTGTGTATAACAATTGCTCCTTTTTTGTGTGTTCCTGATGATCTTCTTTCCCCACCTCGGATAACTTTGTATAGTTGATAGGCTATTTGAAGATGTTGTTCATGCTTATTTCTATTATGTTGTTCATTCTTATTTCTATTATATATATTTTTTTTTATTTTTTAAGTCTTGTATTAAAATATCTAATTTCTTTTTAGGCCACTCTGGTGGTGAGTCTGTAGAACTAATCCAATGTTGATGCCTTTCTAGTAGTTTTTTTAA